TCCTAATGGCCTTCAAGGCTGTGCTTTGCCATACAGTCTTTTGTTCTTGCCTTTTTGTTCTCTGTGGAGCTATGTCAAAGCAGTAACTGACTGCTCACATGAAACTTAGCAAAGATGGGACCAAAAATTTAGCCCTTGCTGTAGCATTTGTGACACTTTAGAGCCACTAGATTTCTTTCTCATCTTAATCTAGGCTAACTGACCCCACTGTTCAGAAATAACATACTGAAGGATTTACAACCAATTGCATGTGTGCAATAAACTACAAGAAATGTGTAGCAATCCCTTACTCTTCAAAGACACAGACATTGGTGTGAGACCTGCAGCTGCATGATAAAAAGCAAGAACTGACCAGTGCTACATCTCCGAGACACCACGAGGGAAATGAAAAGCTAGTCCCTGAATGAATTATGAGTTACAGTGAGAAAAAATATGAGGGCAATAAATGTAGCTCAGCACAATGTTTAGCAGCTGACATGATATGAAGTTTAAAGTTCAGATGTCTCACATTGTGTATCACCCCACATGGCATCTCTTCACCCCACACTGAGCAGTAGTGAGAAATCAGCATGAACTGCAAGGATGGAGTGCCCAAGGCAGGAGAAATCCCCTTTGCTGGAGCACTCTCGCTGCAGTCTCGCTGCTGTTCCTCTCAGTTCAAGAAACCACAAGTCACAGACAAGCAGAAGAGCCCCGTGGGACATGCAGCAGCCAGGCTGCTGCAGGAGTGGAGCCAGAGCTTTTTTGGGGCTGTGTCTATACAGAAAATATTAACTCATGTTTAAGGTCCCAGTGTTAGAGAGAAGTTTGGTCCACTACAGCTGCTATGCCAGCAGTCAGGTTGCAGCCGAGGGGTGAGGAGTGCTGTGTTAGTGAGCTGGGGACCCAAGGGACACTTTTGGAGAGCAGAAAAGTTTCATAACACCTGGGCCCTCTTTACTTCGGGGAAGTGTTTGTAGCTCAAGCACTTCTCACTCCTGTAGCAACTACTTTACCTTTTAGGAGGAGAAACTGCATTTACCACCTGTATTATAGCACAGAACATTACTCAGTCACCATGAGGGAGGGTAAAATGGAGTTTATTTCTGCACTGTCTTTATTCAACTTTATTTTCTCCACCTCTTACCACATCTGCCATCTGTTCTCTGCTATAGTAGCTCACAAGATACCTACAAGCTTTGAGCACAAGGTCCTCTAAAGCATGTAGCTGAATGGCATAAAAAACCCACTCAAAACACTGGTTTAACAACCTAAGGCTCTGCAAAGGCTGGGGTACCCCAGCAACACCATCCTGAGCTGCAGCAGAGCTCGGTATGTGACACCCTGCACTCAGCCCAGCCTCTCACCTGCGCAGTGGCATCCCATCGCTTCTGCCAGGGAAAGGAGCTGCTCCCAGGGTAAGTTACAGTTGTTAGCAGATCAAGGTGTCAGAGCGTGAAAGCAACTGGATTATCCAGCTTGTAGCAGGGTGTGACTAGGAATGCATTTTACTATGTTAAATAATTTGTTATTAACCAAAAAAAAATTGTTCTACAGAGTGTTAACATGACTCAACCCCATGAAAGAAAAATTACGATCTCCTCATTCGCTCAGGGGTTTGTATCACATTGAAGGTGCTTTTCCCTTCAGAAATGCTGCAGGGATGTTTTGAACCCTGTATAAAATGATTTTTCTTCACTTTGTTAGCTGTGTTCTCATCTCTTGAAGAGCTCGGTTTCCACCACTGGTTTTAACAAGAGCAGCGCTTTAGCAGGCAAAGGGAGGATAGAGGCGAAGGGGACCTGTGATACCCTGTGAGGAGGCAGAAGAGTTGAGAAGATGGCCTCCCATCCTCTCTCATCCTCTGACAGCTGACATGTAGGGTTGGCGGATGAACCCCATCTTTCCCCTTGGGCTGGTCCCTTTTCGGATCTATTTGCCTGAATCAGGTACAGAGGCACTGCGGGGCAGAGCTCCTGCCAGCAGCAGCAGCAGCTGCACCTCTCTGCATGTGACTTCCTATCCCCATCCCAAATACTTGCCTTCCTCTGGCATCAGAGCTGCACAAAGGGAAGCATGTAAGTTTGGGGGCTGAGGACAGCCCTGTGTTTGAGGACAAAGGGAATTATCCCAGGCACTTGGAGACTTTGCGATAAGGCTAGGTAGAATGTGATAGCGCTTTGTCAGCTCCTGCTGAGCCCAGAGCTGAAAAACAAAATGGAAAAAAACACCTTAGCACCTCTGTTAAAATCAAGCTCCATATCAACAGCAAGAGGTGTTTAAGCTTAGCTTTTGCAGTAACACTATACGGAATATTTGTACACTCAAACTCCTACAGGTGTTTGCACAGGAATTTTAAAGTCACTATAGGTCCTGCATGAGTAATAAATTACAACAGACGTGAAGGTGGCTCCTATCTTCCCTCTTACCACTTTGTTCATTAGAGAAGGACAGTCCTGTCCCCTCATCTCGCCGAGGGCTTTCCGCTTATCTGGGCACCGCCACCAGTGAATGTTGTGCTAAGCCCATGCCTCAGTTATTCATAGGCAAAAATTTAAAATACACTGACATCACTGCTGGTAAGTTTCATTCTGAGTAGATCACCTCAGATCTGGTTTAATTTGTCATATTGATTTAGCTACAGTGGCATATGTCCTTCACTCATTTTTGGAGCTGAATTTAACCAAATCTTCAGTAACTGGTCAAATTCACACAAAACAATCTCTCTCTCCTTTACTGAAGATTTTCAAGGACTCACGTTAAGAAAACTTTCCTGTCTGACCATTCAGGAGGCATTTTGGAAGTCACACTCCCACCACCAGAGACTTTAACTCCTGTGACCGAAGCCCTTTACAGCAGGCTGCTCCAGTGAGCTGATGTGTCCCCATTTGACTCCCTGCACACCCCACATTCACACAGTCAGACCAGGTTTCCTTATCAGCTTGACCTCAGGTTTCCTATTGCAGAGTCTCAGACCTCTGGTTCCTTTAAGTAATTTTATCATGGTGCAGCACCCTCTCAAAAAGCTTGAGATGGTGCCTCTGAGGAGGGACCCTGAACAAAGGAACCCCTGGGCTTTTATACTCTCTCAGTCTATGCACTTGAAAGTCTGGGATCTTTCAGCTGAGTCCTCGGCTCCTGCTGTGTCTCCAAGTTTCCGGCTCCTGCTGTGTCTCCAAGTTTCCGGTCACCTGGCTGGTGCCACTGGTCCCTGGGCCTTTTGGAATTCAAAGGATTGGCGGTTGACGGCTTCTTCCCTCAGGCTCAGGCTCCTGCCCCCCAGAGCTCAACTTGCAGCTCAGACTGCAGCTGCACACTGAGCTGGATGTAATCCTCAACACTCAGTGTCTGAGATCTAGGCTGGGGGCTAGCAGGGCAAACTGGGACACCCTAGCCATAATTGGGACTGGATTCTGCAAAATGCCTCGAAGACGGGGAGTGAAGGGGTCAAGCAGTAATTCTAACCTTATTCGTCTTTTCAGAGAGTGAACATAAGAAAAGTAAGGTTGGGCTCCCCTGCAACCCCTTCTGGCCCCACAGGATCCTGATGGTCTCCAGGGCACCTCACACCTCCCTAATTAACCTCCCAGCTGTCTCTAATGCAAATTGGGACTAAAGCATGCAGTTTTCCAACTGAACTTGTCATTCCCAAGGAACTTGAATGGATTTCAGATTCCAAACTCCCTTCTGATAATCCTTGCATAAAATGACAGTATTTAAACAATTCAAGGTAAGCACATGAAGATAAATGGATTCAGTCTTGGTTCACGGGGTAATTAACTACTCAGTTGTCCAATGCAGTGTTACCAACCTTTGAATGCAACCTGATACCAAAGTTCAAAAATAATGTTTTCCATTTTCTTAGTGATTTTTATGCTCTTGAAACCCACACAGATACAGCAATTTCACAGAAGTTTCATGCAGATATGCAAGAGTATTATAGTTTACTTTAGAATAATCCATAAGACAAGAATTACAGCATAATAAATTCAGAGCCATAGGTGTGTAGACAGAATAGTATTTATTTATCTTTTTTTCAACCAACAAATTGGGTGAAACAGGAAGCAAATGTTTCTGTCCATAAGTTGTCACAATGAAATCAGGAGCAAGAAACTTTAGACTTTGCAAGTCTGCCTCATATTATTTCTAAGTTTTGGTGAACCAAAGTGACAATTTGACACAGAATCACAGATTAGAAAGAGACGTTAGCCAGAAGCCTAAGGCGGGAAAAGGTTATTACCCTCTGCAGAGAGTTGGTTCAGAGGTGGTTCATCCTGATGAGAGGAAAACAAGAATATACTGTACATGTACTACCTCTACTGAGTTCCTGATGTTTACTACTCTGCAGAGTTATGAATTTTGACTTCCAAATTCATCATTTAAAGGTCTTTCTAAGATTTCCCTTGAGGATCAGGGCTGAAGCAGTATCAGGTGTTCTGTGGCAAATATGCCCTTGGGAGCCCCCAGTTTTCCTAATTTCTGTATGAAAGCCATCTCTGACCAAGATAGCTGTCTGGTTTTGCTTGTGTACTTGCTGCAGAGCCCTGGAGGGATGGTGGCCCAGGCTGCAAACCTGCCTGGGATGCAGGGGTGCCCACCCAGGCCTGGCCAGTGGGAAGCACCTGACATGGGGGCTGCAGAGAGCTGCATGTCATGGAGCAGCAGGAGGGAGGCAGGGAGCCCTGCAGGTCTGAAATGCCCTGGAACTGGGAAGCAGAAGAATAGAAGAAGGGAAGAATGCTCCTCTTTCATCACTTTGGAGTAACCGCAAATAAATGCACTGCGTGAGTCCCCGTCTGCCCGGGGATGGGCTCTCCTCTGCAGAGCTTTTCAGCTCCACCAGACAGAAAAGTAGAAAAGACATCTGTCAGAGAGGGGAAATTGACTGGCTTGAAAATTTGTGGCTGCAATTTGGACCCTCGTCATGCCCACGTACTGTGTCACTGCAGGAGGAATTCAGTTACCATGGGTTACCCTATCAGTACGGGGACCAAGTGCCTCCCCTCCCAACAGCTCTATAAAAAGAGTCACTCCAAGACACCCCAGCGGCTCCTGCCTACCAGCACAAACGGGGAGAAATTTGGCCACAGAGAGAGGGAGGGCCGCCAGAGGAGGTGTCAGCATGCCGTCTGCTTTCCAGTTTCAGTGCCACCTCGTTCTCATCTTCCTGGCAGCCTCCAAGGGGGAAACCAGATACCTAGAGGTGAGCAATACAGCTGATGACTAAAACACCTTTCTGTGCTTTTAACTGCTGTCTTCTAACTTCTACTCTCGGCTTTCAAGCATTGTGGTTTTTTCTCTCTCCCCTCCTATTCCCACCTCTCCTGCATTAAACCTATACCTGGGAAACATTTAATGCAATAGTCCCATGTGTCCTGCACTCCCTCTCGATTTGTTCATCGTCAGCATTTTTGCTGAGTATTTAAGAGACTCACTGTGCACTTAGCTGCTGGGCTCACCTCTAAGGTGCCAGGTTTATTTCTCCTCTGCTGCAGGTTGGCAGCTTTCTGACTGAGCTCTTCCATAGCAGTACTGCTTCTGGAGAAGGGATTTAATGTGCTGTGCCTGTTCTTCAAAGGTGCAGGGAGGGGGCTGCATTTCACTTTGCCCCATACTCTTTTTGCCCTCCATCTTTCACCAGGTGAGGGATGGTGGTGAAGATGAGCCCTTCCTACTCCTCAGTGAAGATCTGAAGCGAGAGCTGTCTACAGGACAGATCTACCGACGGTCACTCCGTGAGTTTTCTTGATGCTCTGGTAGGAACCATTGGTGGGTAGAAGAGTCCTGGAGGGACCTCAGGGCTCAGGGAGGGGAAGGGGGCTAATGGGGAGTGACAGAGGTGCAGGAGCTTTTTGCAATGCCAGAGAAAAGAAGGACAAAGTGTTAAAATCTCAGAAAACCTGTGGTTGAGGCAGAGGGTTGGGGCTCACAGTTAATGGTCCCAAATAATGGGAGCTGGATGGGTATTCTACATCCATGTCCCTGGGCACAGTCACATTGCCAAGGAATGGGGCAGATGTAACAGCTGTGATAAGTGAGAAATCTGAAGGAGTAGAGTGTTTGTGCACTTGTGCACATACACACACAGAGTTTTCTGTTCAGAGATGCTCTGACATGCCACCCCCCCTGCATCCCGCTGTCACACACTTGTGCTCACACATGCAAGTTACTATTTATTCTCTGATGCTGGGCAGGCTCCTAATTGTTTCAGCTGGCTCTCCCTATCCTCACTGCCAGCTAGGTCTCAGTGTAGGGGGGTCTCTGCTATCCCTCTCCTTCCCTGAACTGTGGGAGCTGTCATTAAGTCTCCCTCTGGAGCAGGCAGAGGCAGCAGCCCTGTGTCCCTGCTTCTCCAGGGTGCATTGACATGCTGAGTATAGAGGGGCAGTTCACCTTCACCGCAGACCAACCACAGCTGCACTGTGCAACCTTCTTCATTGGGGAGCCCGAGGAACTCATCACAGTAGGGTACGACTTTGTGAACATCGACTGCCAAGGGGGTGACTTCCTGAAGGTAAGAATCTGCAAGTCTCTTCCCTGCTATTATCTGGCTCGTGAGAGGTTTGCTGTGCACAAGGGGCAGGCAAATATGTATGCGTACATGTGTGTGTGTGTGTATGTGTGTATTTGTGTTTGTGTGTGCAGAACAGGCTGCCATAAAGCAGCCATCTCTGGGATGGCTCCGTCTCCTCCCTGAGCCACTCAGAGTATGTGTCCTCTCATCACCATCCCTCTAAAGTCAAGTCGGATGCAGGATGAGGATACTTCTCCAAACTGCAGCACCAGCTCTTCTGAACTTTTCCCGAAGAACCTCTCCTGAGTGTCCATACATGGGGGACTGGCAGAAAGGTTTGATCAGTACGAGCCAAGCCCGCCAGCCCTATTAGGAGGGTTTTCTCATTGCACTGTGAATCACAGAAGCCCTGCAGATAATGATACAGTTCTCTGAACAGCCCTTACTGCTCTGGGACCTCTGCTCACAGATCACTTAGCATCAGATGATTAGTGAGTGGATCATTGCAGGCTTTACAATTTGCCTGCTAGAGCTTTTCAGGACGTGTACTCTGAACAGAAAGAGGCCCATGACTCAGAGTATCAAAAAACTTTACCAGCCCATTTTTCTGGCATGCAGGAGTGTTGTCCAAGATCTGAACTCAGTCTGGGAGAGAAGGGAAGGCTCAATGGTCCCCAGCTGCTCCCCTTGCCTTGCACTTTGCCCTTTGCTCTGCCGTGGCCAGGTACAGCATAGACCCCATCCCATCTAGTGGTGAGCTAAGCTCCAGGGTGGGGAGGAGGAGGAGGAAGGCTGCCCTTTAGCCCTTTACTTGCCTTCTGCTCTTGGAGAGGTACTGTTCCCCTGCTCACTTTACCCTGGGAAATCCTGCCTCTCTCCCCACATGGCTACAGGAAGGCTGACTTCAGCCTCTTGTGGGTCCAAGGCTTTTGTACCCAGACTTATGGTCTCTCATGGAGGCTAAAAAAATGCCAAGAGATCTTTGACACTTTATTGAGGTTTCCTTTCTTTGGCCATGGTGTCCCAAGTTTCTGTATTTATACAGGCAGCTTATGTCTGATGTAATTTGAGCACCTGCACTTCTTTACTTCAGAAATTTACAGTGCTGGCAAATTCAGAGACCGATCCTGATGTTTTTTCATCAGGAAGTCCCACATACTCACACTAGGATTACTGACTGAAGCAATGGCAGAATCCAGTTCTTGAGTTCGGGAACTGTTGACTGGCGCATAGAAGGAATTACCATGTGAGTGCAGCTAGGAGGGAATTGAAACAGCAAGGCAGGCAACTTTGTAACTATGCTAGAGCTAAGACATATTTCTACTTCTGATACCTTTCTCTGAGCATGGTGAGGGGAAATTGCTACTGTTTTGTTGTGAAGGAAAGATTTGTAGAGGTCAATGCTTAACGTCCAGCCAAGTATGCAGCATTTGTTCTGCTTTCGAGTGGTTAGCATGAGGTGAAAGAGCAGATGCAGGTAAGAACAATACCTCTGCCGATAATTCCTCTGCAAGGTTTTATTGTACTCTAATACCTCTGGAAGGCCCCTGGGACCATTAATAACAAACTGTCAAACACGAATTGTGGAAAATTACAAGCCAAATCAGTAGACATAATGCCCACAGTTTGACAGGGTGACATATTTCTTGTGGCTTCCAAATCAAGCTCATCAAACATTTTCATAGTAACAATGAAATTGCAATAGTAAAAAATAAAAAAATGTGATGATGCTGAAGCAAGAAGAGATACTTCTCTGAAAAAAAAGATAACTAAAATTGTTATTCAAAGGAAATAAAGACAGCATTAAAAGTTTTATATATCCCTTTCCTAAATACCAATTGAAGCATGAATAATTAGTTAAATGCTAGAAAATCAATAAATACTAAGACTTTTTGTTTTCAACTGGTGGTTTTGAAGAGGCTATCTTGGTGTCAAAATAAAAGTGTCTGTCATACTTAATGTTTTTATCCTCTGCTAACAGAGCAATAAGCAAAAGCATTGTTTTCAATTATTCAATCCCCGTAGGTATTTGATGGCTGGATACTCAAAGGAGAGAAATTTCCAAGTTCCTTGGACCATCCCCTCACTACTTCTCAAAGATATGTAGACTTTTGTGAAAGTGGGAACATTCAGCGGAGCATCAGGTCATCACAGAACGTAGCAATGATCTTCTTCAGGATTCATCAGCCAGGCAATGGATTTACTGTCACAATCAAGAAAAATACCAATCTCTTTCGTAAGTCTGCATTTTATGTCATCAAAAGGGCTTCAATTGGGGCTGCAAGGAAAATGAATGTGTTGGTTTGCACTGAATTCTCTCACTGTCATTATCTGCACTAACACAGCTCCATTAAGTCCAGCAGAGCCACACACACCTGCATACCTGCAGATTTGACTCAGACTCAGTGTGTGTCACAAGAAAAGGAAAAAAAAGCTTAAGAGATAACACAGGCATGGCTTCGATATACAGGACCATAAGGCTCTTTCTTTCAAATAAGATCTCTCCCAATCTAATATTGGCATGTTCCAATATATTTGGGTAGAACAAATAGTATTAATTTAGAGAGTTAAGCGATTTCTAGATCTGGGTGAACAACACTGTAAAAATATTTGAAAAAAGTCAACAGTAAAAACAGTGTATCAAATAATTATGTGATGGTTATGAGTGATATATGATCACAAGGATTTATTTTCATGTTCTACAAGCTTGTGAGCTGGCAAGGCACAAATAATCATAGAATAATAGAATGGCTTGGGTTGAAAGAGACCTTAAAGATCATTTTGTTACAACCATGGCCAGAGATGCCACCCCCTAGAGCAGATTGTCCAGGGCTGCATCCAACCTGGCCTTTAACTCTTCCAGCAGTGGGACACCCACAACTTGTCTGGGCAACCTATTACGGTGCCTCACTTGCATTGTTTTTTCAAGAGAGACAGGACATTTAATGTTCAGACTAGTCTGATTTATTTGCCTTACTATGCAAAGCAACAAAAAAAAAAAAAAAAAGACAAAAGGTGATAGCATGTCTGTCCCATCCTTAATCCAGGTTATTCAGACATAAGCCTGCAAGCTCGGTCCCCAATCTGGTTGATATGATTATTGTGAAGTGGCTAGTGTCCTTGACTGTCCTGCTGAAGCAGCTGCAGGCCCCCAGGTCTGTGTCAAGGATCCCTTGGGCTACATACATAGATGATAAGTTACTGCCTTATTAAGTTTAAACCTAAAGACAGAGTTACACTCTCATTTCAACGATGTATTTTGCAGGGTAAGGAACTCCAGTTAAGAGGAGCAGAATTGGAGGTAGGGGGTTGCTGGCAGTATCAGGCAATAACCTGTCAAAGCTAAACAAAGCCCTCCATCCACATTTAGCCTCCTTCAAACTGGCAAACTGTATGAGCCCTTGACAGCAAGAGCCCCTGACATATGGATTTGGGGTGTGAGCTCTCTCATTGATTACTTCACTATCAAGTTCTGTCAGACTTCAAGTTACAGATTAAAAACAGAAAGGGAAGTTTTAAGGAACAAATGTTATGGAGGAACCCCAGAAAATGCTACATGCATATTTTTCAGCATTTGGTTGCAACTCTCAGTAATTAAATCACCTTTGGTTTTTTTGGTAGTACATCATTTTGCTACACTCAGTGTAACTCTTGTACCTTCTGCTGTGTCCCAGCTTGCAATGTCATCTCTCAGACTCCTTCAGGAAGGTTTACCATGGTCATTCCTCACCAGCATAGAAACTGCAGCTTCTCAATAATTTACCCAGTTGTGATAAAAATATCTGATCTTATCCTAGGACATTTAAATGGCCTCTTTTTAAAGGTGAGTTCTTTATTTCCTAATAAGTTACTACAATGTGCAATCTTCTGGGTGCAGGAGAGGAAGGGGGTTAAGCAGGGATAGCCTGTAGCACTGGTTCCTAAGGCATGTGTGCTCCAGACCACTTGCATACGAGCTGAGGGCTCTGGTTTCCCCCAGAGATGAGCGTTGGGTCTGTCTTTGTCTCTATGGTCTCTGTAATGTTGCAGTGGCAAACAAATTATGCAAACTACCATTAGTGCATGTAACTACTGCTTGCCTAACAAAGGGTAAGAATTTCATTATAAAGAAAGGAGTATGTCTGTATTTAAACTAATGAAAGCAGCAACTGCTCTAAAGAGAGAAAGGAGACACAAATTAGATAGTAAGGTATTAGCATGGAGAAAATACAAATGTGCTCAGAACTGACTGTCTGCTCAGCATGCTGAGCATCCTCTGCTCCATTTGCTCTGATCTGGGGTTTGGCCAAAACATTTGGTTCTTGGTGAAGAACACAGAGGAGAGGACAAGAGCTGTTGGTGATACTCTGTGGCTGGGAGGTCTAAGAATGTGCGAATTCCAAAATATCCAGAAGAATAGAGCAAGAAGGTTTGTTTTGTCCTGCCAGTGAGTCAGGCAGCCTAGGTCCTTCATGGGGACTGCCAATCTATGAGCAAACCGGGCTTTGAGAGATGGGCAAGTGAATTAGTTGAATTATTCAGAGAAGGGCAGAAATGGGACAACTGCAAAGGAAGGTAAAGAAATCAGGCACCTAAATAGCAGCATAGGGGTGACAGCCCAAAGGTGCTCAAGGTGTCCATGTACTTGTGGGTCCAATATACAGTGAGCTCCTGTTTTCATGCAAAACTACCCTTTTGGTTAATTCCTACTTTAATTAACCTTTGCCACAACAGTGCATTTTAGAACACTTATTGCTCAGGAATGAGTATGGTATAGTGGAACTGAAGTTCGTGTCTGCCAGCTGAGTGTGTGTTCACATGCAGCCCTTAACTGCATTATTTGATTACATCCAGAATCAGATTGCTTATCAGCACTAAAAGCAGTTAAATTACCACCTTAACTACTTGTCAGTAATTTTGAGAGCCTACTTAGGTCTTTCTTTGGAATTAATTAAGGAAATTAACTTACTAATGTCAAATCAAAAGAGTATTGCTCAGGATGAGAAACTGATTTCACACAGGTTTGAGCAAAGGGGATTTCTAAAACCTACTGTTGGCTGCAATCATGTCTAGAGAACTGCTACATTTTGAAGAAAAACGATAAATAACTTTTAGCCTTTACCTTTTTAGAAACCATCAGTAGGCTGTGCAGGAGTGGGAGATTTTGTAGAGCTTCTAGGAGGAGCTGGCTTAGACCCATCCAAGATGTTTCCACTAGCTGACCTCTGTCACTCCTTTCATGGGTCTGGTAAGAACTCCACATGATAAAATAATTAACCAGAATAAGATATGCAGACACCCACCCCCCATCCCAACCCTGCAACCTGGATTTCCTGCTAGACTGGTGAACTTCACATCTAGCAGAACATGAGATCTAAAGCTATTCAAATCTGTGGTTTGGCTGAGTGTTACCATGACCACCTTGCCCTGCTGTAATGATTATAAGAAGGTTAAATTATACATATTTTTTAAATGCTTCTCCTATGACAAATATGATTATTAGAATGTCAGCACATAAATGAGTCTGGAAATTCACAACAAAGGAGGGAAGAGTGGTTACATTCTCATTTAAGGAGCTTTTCTCTTGCTTACTCAATGTTTCCAGAGCCTTCTTTTCTGCTACAGGTGTAACACATACCCCAAAATTATCAGAGCTCTCATTCTCTGCTTTGAACCCTGTAGAGGCTCTGAATCTGTTTCACTATCATGACAGGTCAGTGACTTCTTTCTCCCCATGAAAATAAGAATTTCCAGTTTCCATAATATTCAACAGCAGACTACAAAGTGTGGCAGTGATGTGATAGATGAACCCCTGTGGCACACCTGTCATACCTCAGGAGTATCAGTGGGGGCACCAGACAAGTGGCATTTACACAGAGTTAGAAAGCAGGAACATGCCTGGTACTTCACCCCTGTGGTCTCCCTTGCCTTTCATCACACCACAACTTAACAGTCCAGGCACTGTTCAAAGACGTAACCAGCAAGTGCTGGTGCTGAGCAAATACTGAGCACTGAGATGAGATTAAAATATGTTTTGTGAAGGAAATGAAATTCCATCTCAAGAGCCCCTGCTTTTTCAATGACACATCAGATTTCTCCAACCGTGAGGAAGGAACTCCAAGTTCCCCAAATGAAACAGGCTTTGCCAAGCCCCTACTCAAATGGCTCATCTAAAGCAGTGCTTAGTAATACTTGTTTTCTCTTAGAGACAATATGCTGGGCACTGCCATTTGAATTTGTCTTGATGGGACTCTCATATGCCTTTGTTACTGTGAAGAACATCCTTATGAACAAACCCACTCACCCCTCTAATAGGAAACATTTCAATATTGCTAATTTTGGTTGTCCCTGGGATAGAGTGCCGTTATCCTTACCTGTCGCTCATGATGTCTAACAGTAGCACATAGATGTGGAGTGGCATTTGCACGAGTGAAGGTTACAGTGCTTTATTAAAAACCCAAGCACTGTAAAGCAGAACTAACAAATACAAAAATTAATCAGCAATATCACGACTGGCAGGTCATTACTACACACAAATTTGCTGTATTTCCAAAGTTGCATGCATCAGTGCTTTATAATTCTCAATTTATAGATCTCTTTTCCCGCGGTCTCTCTCATGTAAGTATATCTTTATATCTCCTTTATATCTCGCTTCCCTAATTAGCCCAAATGAAGATTGGCTGTGACAACACCGTGCTGCGAATGGTCTCCAGTGGCAAACACATCAACCGTGTGACATTTGAGTATCATCAACTTGATCTGCAGGAAACAGAAATGAGAAAGGAGAACAGCATTGAGGAATTCTGCTTTCCTAGTATCTGAGAAACCAGGCCATATGTTTTCAGATAGCTAATGAAAATAAGGTTCTGGGGAATTAAAACAATGTATTTTTTCCTCTAACCAGCTAGTATTATTGAGCCTTTCTATAAGCATATTTCTTTTTTCATACAAATCAGTCATTCCCATGAGCAAGCAGGAAAAAGCAAGAAATATATTAATCTTTGCTATTATCGTTATATTCTTTCTGCAGTATTTAAGCTCATTTACCACTCCAAAATCAATAGCAAGAATAGAAGCGTATGTTTCCCATATAAATATTTTTAGGAAAATAGGCGCAAGCCCTAGTCTGAGGACGTATGAATCCCACAATAAGTACAAACTTCAGGCCGCAATTTTATCCTTTTAGATCAGGTATAAACAAAAAAAATTAGGTGGTGAAATACACTTCCAGTTTTGTAAGAGGAAGCCCAGCATTAGTGTGTTTAAAAACTACTGGTTTATTTATGACTATAAATGTACTATTTATTTCTAATGACATGTTTTTAATAAAAAATTATAGCATGAGACTTCCTTACACAAATCCAAACATAAATAAATATATTTGAAGAGTTGGCAAAGAATTAGTATGTTCTATTTTTTTCTGAAGAGCTCTTTTAACATTCTGGTTAAACTTCCTAAGTCATGTGCAGTTTTCTGGAAATAAAAATTTTGGACACACGTTGCTGTAAAGCCGTGGACTATTATGAGCAGAAATTTGGTTTTCCAAGGTTGCTTACACCTCCATATGGAGGAAGTTCCAGCAGTACACTCTTATGGAGTTTTTGTTCAGATGTCCTGCTGATATGTGGAGGCAGGGATACATGAATATAGAATAATTTTTTCCAGGCCTTTGGTGACCCAGAAGAGGAATGTTAGCCTGACGAGCTCTAGGAAGCGCAAGCACAGCAGAGGACCAAAGCTGTGTCCTAGCTCAGAGAGAGGCACAAGGAGTGATTGTTATGTTTTCTGCGAGTGATACCTGGCAGTAATGGGAGCAAACTGTTCCTCCTTCAGAGCTCAATTAATGTTCAAACCTAATTAATCCAACTGCATTCCTGAAATCTCCCACTCTGATTTATGGCTCTTATTCTCACAGTCATTCACCCAAAATCAAGTGTCTTGATTATTCAGCAGCTCTGAAATTAATCTCCCTGACTGAAGTGTGTGAAAACTATAGAATGCTTCAAACTCTCCTTCTTTTGGGTTTTGGGAGCCCAATTTTTGTGACTGACTCATGAACACAGGGATGTGTTTGGCAGATAGGTCAGACTCAGGTGGCCATATCCACTCTACAGGGCTGTGTTCGTGGATAAAGTGGGGATTGTGGGAATGCTTCACTTTCTTCCAAAGTAATCAGACGAAACTGCTGCTGGCTACCCCAAGACATGGAGCAGCCATGACTCGGGTCTTAGTGAGGGGTCTTTGGCCACTACGTCCCTGTTCCAGCCCCATGCAACCCACTTGGGCTTTCTGAGCCCTGCTGCCAGTGCTGGTGCGGCCACCCAGCACCAGAGACATTGAATCCAAGAGCCATAGAATCGTAGAATGGCCTGAGTTGGAAGAGTCATCTAGTTCCAAACAGGGACACAGGGACACCTTTCACTAGACCAGATTTCTCAGAGCTCCATCTAGCCTGACCTTGAACACTTCCAGGGATGGGGCATCCACAACTTCTCTGGACAACCTATTCCAGTGCCTCACCACCCTCACAGTAAAGAATTTTTTTCTAAAATCTAATGTAAACCTGACCTCTTTCAATTTGAAGCCATTCACCCTTGTCCTTTCACTACACGCTCTTGTAAAAAGCCTCTACACCTTTCTTGTAGGCTCCCTTCAGGTACTAGAAGGCCACAATTAGGTCACCCCTAAGCATTCTTTTCTCCAGGCTGAACAACGCAAATTAAATCAGCCTTTCCTCATAGGAAAGGTGCTCCAGCCCTCTAACCATTTCGAGGGTGCTCCTCTGGATTCATTCCAAGAGGTCAATGACCTTCCTGTGCTGAGGACTGAGGACCCCAGAACTGGATGCAGGGCTCCAGGTGGGGTCTCACCAGAGCAGAGTAGAGGGGTGGAATCCCCTCCCTTGACCTGCTGCCCACTCTACTTTTGATGCAGCTCAGGATACAATTGGCTTTCTGGGCTGCCAGTGCCCATTGCTGGGTCATGTCCAGCCTCTCATCCACCACCACCCCCGAGTCCTTCTTGGCAGGGCTGATCTCCATCAGTTCATCCCCCAGCCTGGATTGATACCAAGACTGCTCTGATCCAGGTGCAGCACCTTGCACTTGGTCTTATTAAACTTCATGAGATTCCTATGGTCCCTCTCCTAGAGCTTGTCCAGGTCCCAGTGGATGGCATCCTGTCCTTCAGGTGTGTCAGCTGCACCTCTCAGCTTGGTGTCATCTGCAAATTTGCTGAGGGTAAATTCGATCCCTTTGTCACTAATAAAGATAATAAATAACACTGGTCCCAATACAGACCCCTGAGGGACACCACTTGTCTCTGGTGTCCATCAGAACTCTGAGTCATTGACTCTACTCTGTGGATAAAACTGTCCAACCAATTCCTTATCTATCTAACAGTCCACCCACCAAATCCAATTTAGAGAGAAGGATGTTGTGGGGGACTGTGTCCTTTACAGAAGTCCAGATAAATGACATCTGTAAGCCCTTGCCTTGTTCACTGATGTAGTCACTCTATCACAGAAGGCCACTAGGTTGGTCAATGAGGGAGAAAAAAATTAGGGCTCAATTAAACAGCTTTTTTTCCTCAGAAAACTTGCAGTGAGAGAGCATCTCTGTCCACAGATACCTCACTCAGCTCGTCCTTTCTGGTGCCTGTCGCTGTCAGAGTGGCCCGAACTGCAACTAGCCCCACCAGCCTTTACTGTGCACCCTTTGGTGAACCAAGGCATGTTTCTGGGTTGCACCATTTGGGAACAAGCCCCTATGTCAAACTGTTCCCATTCACATACCTACCTTCAAACTGGGAAGAGGTAGAGGTCTTTAAAATGCTACTCCTTGGTCATTAAGAAACACAGAGGAGTTGAAATATCAACAACAGATCTCAGGTCCAACAGCCCAGAACAAAGTCGCTGGTGAAGATAAACTCACAATCTTTTGCTTCATGCAGTTTCATGGTGGGATTTTCCACCTTTCAACTTTATGTTGTACTTTTTTTTCAATACTGACATGAGTCAAATACTCCAAAACACCAAGGCCTTACAGAAAAGATTCTTAATGCTCAGTGATTTGAGATTTCACATTGCATAGTATAGAGAAGTGGACTCTATTACTAAGAAATGTTACTGTTATAGATGAAGGAGAATGTAAAACAACACTCTGCATAGTGCAGCACCATCTATTGATATGGTTCCATGCATAATACTCAAGTACCTGGTGATTTTCCCAGAACTTGTCACTTCATTCCTTTTAATCAACATAAACTTAGGCAGCACCATCAATTATACCACTCTTCTCTGATGGCTGTCTTGGAAAAACCTGGACCTCAGACAGCTAGCCATTCTCTGGTCTGTGATTTAAGTTCTACCTCATACAGAAAATCAAGTCACTTCAGTCTGTGTATCTGTATTTATGAAGGCCCTTATCATTTCAGGAGCTGTAGAACTTCAGTCACAAGAAGTCAGCTCTTAGATGTCAAATGTCATAATTCCTCCAGAGTGTAGTACTGGAGAAGTAAGGAAATAAGTATCTTCCTGAGCGGGGGAGCGGGGGAGGGGAAGTACAAAGCAAAGAAAACACTGCAAGGAGAAAAATGAAAAAGGTAACTGAAAGTTTGTAAAAGGGGGGGGAAAAGCAGGATAAGAAATATATGAATAACATGAACATATGTTGAGAGAATCAAGAAAAGAATTTATCAATTAGCAAGGTTACAGCCTGGAATCTGGCAGGAGTTGGAAGGCCTTCTAAGAATTAAAGAAGAAATCAAGCCTCTAAAAGTAAAAAGGTAATGAAAGTCTTTGAAGAAGCAATGTTTGGAAATTTTGGCTTTGAAAAGAAATTGTATGTCCAGGATTCAGACACCCTGATATCCGTCACTGTAGGCAAAGTCATCAAAACTCACACTTAATGTTAAAACTCACAAAATCATCAGGAGGAGGTGTGAGTGACAGACTTAGTGCAGACTCTGATATCTGAGAATAAACCACTTTTCTTTGTCTTTTTTATTTGGCATAATTACTGACTTTCCTTTAGAAAAGTGATGTAAAAGGTGTTATGATACCACAACAGTACTACATGACACAAGAGTACTGTGCTAGATTTAGAAAAAAAACACAGATCTTGAACTGATGGGTTAGCCAACAGTCAAGTAATGACTGAAAAACTCTTCAGCATCACAAAAACAATGAAGGATCCTGTGGTTAAAAATTTTTATTTGCAGTGAAAGGGAGAAATCAACCGTTTTTGCTGCATTGCTGTATTAACATGAAATCCAGGGTGGTTTTTCAGAAAAAATAATGTAGTGAGTTGCCCAGAGGGAAGCTGAATTTCCCACTTTAATTAATATTTCACAATTAAAAGTCTTCTACTTCAAACCATGCAATAAATCTTCAGCTTAAATGCTGGGGGAGGGGGGTTCCATCTATACCATGTATAAATGAAATAAAATAATAAAAACTACAGAAATTTAATAGAGAGTGCTAACTAAGACTTTGTTGTTAAAATTGTCCAGAAGAGAAGATAGAAATACCCTGAAGGCAGAGGGGAAGAAAATAGCTTCTGTAGTGTCCCTACAGAAGTGACCCCAGGCATTTGAAACAATCAGTCAGCTGAAATATGTTTGTCAAGAGTTTTCTGGCAATAGAAAGGGGAACATTGTTATGGGACCCACCAACATAGAGCATATGCCAAGAGCCTTGTAAAATAGGACTTGATACAGGAGCAGATACAGACTTGTTCAAGATCTTTGGGATTTTTAAGAGAAAAAAATACTGTTCAGAAGTTAAGGGTCATTTTCAATAAGTAAAGGTGTATTAAAAAATCATTTATCAAAATTGGATCTATGACATTAAATAAGGAGGAGCTAATTCACTCCCTCAAGGGCGGACAGGCCCTGAGGGACAAATGAGAGAGAAGGGCAATCACCAACTGTGTGAAGTTTAACAAAGACAAGTGCCCGATTCTGAACCTGGGACACAGCAACCTGGATGTACAGACTGGGGAATGAGAGGCTGGAGAGCAGCGCTGCTGTCAACCTGGGGGTCCTGGTTGACAGTAAGTTGAATATGAGTCAGCAGTGCCCTGGCAGCCAGGAGGACCAACTGTGTCCTGGGGGGCATCAGGCAAAGCATCATCAGCCAGTCAAGGGAGGGGATTGTCCCGCTCTGCTCTGCACTGGGGTGGCCTCACCTTGAATATTGTGCAATATAAGGAAGATATTGAGCTCTTAGAGAGTGTCCAAAGGAGGGCAACAAAGATGGTGAAGGGCCTTGAGGGGAAGCCGTATGAGGAGCAGCTGGGTTCACTTGGTCTGTTCAGCCTGGAGAAGAAGAGGGAAGACCTCATCACTGTCTACAGCTTCCTCACGGGGGAAGTGGAGGGGCAGGCACTAATCTCTT